GCGTTTCTTGCAGAATCTGTATTGAATGCATGCTAAATTTTCCGTGAAAGTTAGTTTACTTAATAAGCCTCTAAAATAATTAGGCCAAGCCTAACAGCTTTTCCACGTTCAGAGAGGAAAGTTTTGAACAGCCCCTTTCCCTGGCTAGGGAACTCAACAGTGACTGTACACACCATCATGCAATATGTAGCAGTTCAGTCATCAAAGAGCATAAGCCTTCTCTAATTTTCCTGCTAGGAGCTGCTGTGGATTATTTTTCTCTTTCATCTCTGCACAGAGGATGATAGCATGTCTTCAGCTTAAATTTTAGAAATTAAGTTAGGGAGAGGAAATAGAAATCCTGATTTTTTAAAAAAATACTTCTACAGTGGTGTTCGCTTATGAACTTATTTACAATTTGGGATAACTGTAAGAACAAGAAATTAAAAATACATTTCTTCTTAATTTTTAGCTGTTTTAGCTGTTGCTACCCAAACCACTAGTTGATACATTATTTTTCTATATTTTGGAGAAAAGAAGAACAAGAATGCAATCATTTGCATGTTACTCCTCTTAGTTGTAGCTGGCTTTAAAGTATCTCAAGGCAGCTGATCATAGTCTTGCTGAGGAAGTAGTTATTGATTTACTGTATCTATCAAACTTAAATGAATCTGCTCATTTGGCAAAAAGTACCCAAAATTAATACTAATCAATTACATAAGAGACATCCCATGGGTTGTGAGTCGTGTTTGAGGGCAGCCATTAATAGTGGATAACGTTGCTGACTTCTGAGGAGCACAACTGGTTTTACAGCTCCAGTATTTCTCAGGCTTATTCAAGAGTACAGTTAGAGTGTGAGAGTTCATTTTGTGAAACTTGGAGGTTCATTAGTACTATGTTGAAACAAATCCAGACTCATGTAATGGCTGTCTGGGATCTCCTACATCTCACAGCAGTGCTCCAACCACCAGGTGACAGGTTGCAAAATTCACCTTTTGTTTTTTTCTGGTAAGAACTTCGCTGAAACAGAAACGTTTTCTTTTTCTGCAGAAAGCATTTGACATCAGCTAAATGAAATCTTGAGAAAAGGAAAAAAATAAAAGGTAGTCAGAAATATTTGACCTTAGCCTTAGTCTCCTAAGTACCATAGGATTTTGTTAACTTTTGAATGACAGCAGCTATCCCAATAAGATAAATATTTATAGCATAGACTCAAACTGGACTGGGTTTTGAATAATGTAGAAATCACATAAGCAATTTTTTTGATTCGTGGTATCAATGTTTGTTTTAGAGGCAGGAAGGTAGTTTTAATTTCTAATTGATATCTGCGTTTCAAAGATATGTTTATTGCATTATAAAAATATACTAATGAAAGCTGTGAGATACTGATATAGCACATCAGATAAGGAGACAGAAATCAAAATATGGCCAATTCATTTATATATATAAGACAATTCTTTCAAAATATAGTAACATCTCCTATGAAGGAAGAATAATTAAATGGTTAATGTGTAAGTCCTTCAGCTAAGTGATAACTTATCAAATGCTATGCTTCCTAGCACTCTTAACAGAGTTAGTGTTTTTAAAAATATTTACAATTATAGGGGTATCTTTTGAGGTACAGAGAAGTAAAATAAAAAGCTTTTGTCTGCACTCGAGAGGTTCGTTACTCAGTTCATCTCAGCAACTGACTGCCCTGCAAGGTCCCCCCAGCAGGGGGAAGAGGCTTGGATGAAAGTCCCTCAGGTGAGGACTGCTGAGCCCTGGCGCAGCCATTCTCGGGAGCGCAGCCGCACAGGTACATACCGAGCTGCTTGCCATCCCTCCTCTTCTTCCCAGCTCTGCGTCCAGTCCACATGGATTGCGAAGGGTGGTTCCAGCAGGAGGATGTGACCAAGGAGGCACTCCTGCAAAATCTCATTGCCCATATTCTTCTCTCTTCTAAGGACTTTTTTTTTTTTTAATTCCTCTCTACTCATTAGCCAGGGAAAAAGAATGAGCACTGATCAATTTGAGTTCCACACTTATCACTTATTTGGTAGATAATAAACTTTGCATTCAAAAGGGATGAGAGTAGTAGATTAGAAGCCATGTGCAGTTCAAGGGCATATTTAAGAAGACATATCCATTGCTAATTCTACAGCGAAACCTTCATTTTGTTTTATTGTATTAGAGAAAGACATCCCGATTTATGACCTTATGTCAAAACTGTTACTTATCGAGGGGGAGAGTGGCTAATTATGAGTGTCTGATTACAGTGCTTTGCATCTTGGGGCATTTTTCTGGGTTAAGTGGAAGTGTGCTCTTTGAGTCCAAAATTGTGTCTTAGAGGAAATGCCAAGTGGAAATTTTTCCAAAATGAGTTTTAGTGATTTTAACTGATTAAAAATAAGAGACCCTCTATATCCAAGACATATGTCATACTGTACTTAAGATACTGCAAATTGAAGGAAAGTTGTGAGAAATTCAACAGTTCAGTATTAGAAAATTTTGCTGTATTTCCAACTTTTTCTCTCTTAATCTTTTTTCCTCTGTAACTAATATTAAAATCTGGCATTAATCATGCTAAAGTAAATATGTGATGATACTAACATTTTTATTAATTTTTACTGCTGGCTAACGGTCATAGTTCCATTCATAAGTTCTCAGAAATTTCTCAATGTATTGGCTCTTTCAACACAGTTACAGCTGCTTTTTGTAGCAATGATAGTCTTTTCTATGTTTTTTTAAATACTGACTTATAAAACTTCTCTAAAGAATGGAAACAATAGTAGATTATTTCCACATGATGCAGAATGCCTTTCAGCTTTTCTTATCTCACTCTTATTTGCCTGATTTTTTTTATGTTTCCCTCATTTAGCCTTCAGCAGGTTGAGGGTTTATTTTGAATTTTCTTGGTCCATCTGCTTAGTCAGTATACATACCTTAGTTTTTTAATGTATGATTTTAATTAATGTGGGGATCAAACGCTATAGAAATGCCTTTCTTTCTAATGCTGAGAAAGGGAAAAGACAGTTGAATTCAGAGATTCAGGCTCTGATTAAGCATTGTTTTCCTATGAAGACTTTGGTCTCCTGATGTTTCAAGTTCTAAACCTTTTAAAAGTAGGAAGTCTTGCATTGTTTGTTAAACAGTGGAAATTGGGATCTAAAGTATTATTTTATAAGTAAATATTAATATAGTTTATTTATTAAATTGAGAGGCTAGACAATTCAGATGCAAAGTGTAAAAAAGCAAGTAAAATGTTGAGATAGTTAGACTTTCTCTCCATTCATGATGCTACATATTTGCAGAAATACCTTGTTTTATATTATTTCTAACCTTCATAACACAGTGTCTTTCTGATGTAAAATTTATGCTAGACATTGTTCAATTGTACTACGTTTGACTTCATTGCTGCAGGACATTGCCACTGTAATATTATAAATAATGAGTGCTGAATCATGTAAACATGGATCTCCTTGTTCAGATAGGCTACTCCACTGTTACTCTTGACCTTGATCATACCACCTTTCATGGACTCATGTCATCTATGGCCTTTTGGGGCTCTAGCCTCTTCTATTCCTTCTACTTTTCAGGCTGTTTCTTTAGCAGTTTGTTTAGTGCTTAGGCTTGGATCCTTTCTCCTCTTTGCCCTTTCCGTTCTGCATTTATACCGATTACTGTTTTCTGGCCCTCATTCAATTTCAAGCTTCTGTGTTTATATGTGGGTTTTAAATCCACCTCTCTACTTTTAATCTTTCTTCTTGTCCAGTCTCCCACATCTCATTCTTTTGCTATTTATTCTGTAAACACTAAACTTGAGCCAAATTGCTCAATACTTTTACTTGAAGCTTCATGTTGTGTCAAAGTTGGCAGTGTCATTGTGTTTGTCCTTGTCAGTGTAATCTGTTATGACAGTTTTGGCTTTTCACTGGTTCGGGCCCTGAACATGTGGGATGTTTTTAAAAACAAACGAAAGTGATGCAGGTGTGGATTAATGGTACAAAGCTCTAATTGTGAAGCACCTGGATATAGATATTCATGAGCAGCAAAGTGTTGTTCCCAAATGAGTGTCACTGAGGGATTTGGGCTCAGCTCTGTGTGTATCAGACAGGAGTGGCACAAAAGAGAATCCTGTCATTTTCACTTGACAGATATCATCTCATTCTGTAAATCTGTTACTAGGAATCAATGCTGTTTTCTTGAAGAGGAGGAAGGTAGGAGCTAAGAAGCCAGAGAAGGACCTGACATAGTTTAAAGAGTCTGCAGAGCTATTGGAGCCATAGTTTCTCTGGGCTGGTTTGTACTGCACATTTCCTGGGATTTCCCTGACATGGGGAAGACCATCACAGCTCCAGCTCTGGTGTGTTAGCCACTCTCCAGCCCTGACTCCTGCAAACATCAGATGCGGAGTATTTAAATGCATCCTTGGAGGACAGAACTATAGGTATAGAAGGCAGGAGTCTTCTGAAGTGATAGTACTCCACTGCTCTTTCTGCCAAATAAGTTTTGTTCAGCCCTGGGTCTTTTACCTAAAAGAAGGAATTGGAAAGGGAATGAAACTTTCAGTCTTTTTATGAAGAAGAGCATTCTAACATCTGCAGTGGCCATGGGATCAAGATGAAGATTGCTGCACTCCTACCCTAACCCTTTCTCTGAGCTGCAGCAGATTCCTGTAAATGTTCTTGAGTGCTTTCCAAAGCATTTGCAGACTCAAAGATGTATCTACCTCCATTAGCCCCAGAGGCTGATGTTTTCTTTCAGGGGCCAGTAGTAACGTGAGTCCATTGGTACACAGGGGCAGCAGAAGTCCCTCAGCAGCACAGCGTTGCTGGAGGCCTCCTGGCCCCAGTGCCAGCCTTGGGCTGGCCTCACCTCCACAGCTGATAAGGTCGTCAGACTCTAGGTCGGTGTGCGAAATTGTGTTTGCAGGTCACAGGATTTTGTTTTGAGAGCAAAAATCAGCGGTAAGTGGCAGCACGTTAGAAAATATTTGGGGAATTTTCTCTCTTTAGCTTTTTTTTCTTTTGATGTTGCAGGAAATATTCAGGAGGTCATATTACAAGAGCACTTGGAAAAAGAAGATGAAATTCTGGTTTCCTTGGCTGGTTTGAAGCAGGTATAACTATTGCTTAACTTAACCTTGTCGTATCCTTCAGCACTATTAGTCCTTTCTTTTTTTTCCTCCTTTTTCATTCTTTTTGTATATTGCTGTTTTGTCTTGTTGTAGCTGTTTTACTAATCCTAATGCATCATGCATTGCAGCATACTTTTATTGAAAAAGGTGGTAAAACTCAGCTATAAAGAGTTCAAATGACTTGCACAGTATTTGCTCCCTGAAAAGTTCTGGACACCTCAAACCAGAACTGAAACAGTGCGACACCGAGTTCTGGACTTAAGCCACACCGTCATTTTTCTTAACGCAAAATGTACATGCTAGGCGTGTAATCATGCCTATGTCCTCGTTATTTAAATGTGATGACACTTGAATGTTATTGAATTAAAAGAGAAAATACTGTGTACATAAAATGAGAATGCTGCTGAGCATCTGTAGCTCTGATTATACTGCCCTCTGCTCCCTCAAAATACATTTTATGAGGAATGATGTGACATATGGTAAACGTATAACGAGATAGGGAATAATCTTAACATTTTCATTCTCTTTAGATTTCTTGGATAATTGTTTTCCAGGCTCTGATACAACCACATTTCACTGAAATTTGCATCTTTAACCAACATAGGTGTATATATTAATTTGCTTCCTATCTCTTCAAAGCACATATTTTGGGGAAATTGTGTATGAAAGCATGCTGCATGGACCTTAAGAAACTTTAGAATTCCTCCAAGTTTCTAACTTACATTGTTTTCCCTCCCGTTCAACAACAGATCAAGGATATCCTGAAAGGTTCCCTCCGTTTCAACCAGAGCCAGCTGGAAGCTGAAGAAAATGAGCAAATCACAATAGCCGATGATCATTACTGTTCCAACAGTCAGAACAACAAGGGGACTGGGGATGTCCTAAAGGGACCTGTTATGACAAAGCAACAGTTCATCTCAGGACGACCGGTAAGATAAAGTATCTCAAACAGGCCATTGATGGCATTAGTCTGATATTTTTTGGAGACTTCCTTTAGCATCTGCTGACGTGACGTGGAAACACACCAGCACTGCTGGTGCATGTAGAGCCATGGTTAAAGTGTCTCTCCAGCTGCTGTCCTACTCCCATCAATTGTTTTTATTGTAGCCTTATGGTGCACAGGCAGATATTTAAGTCTAAGCGTTACGCAGTGTTTGGAGGGTTCTTCTTTCAGATTGTTGAATCACAGAATCATAGATTTATTTCCTACAAAAAGATGTAGAAACTGGAGGTAAACGCTCCCATATCAAATGTTCCCTTATGATTATTCTCATCGTCCTTGTCCTCCAGAACCCCATTATGTAAGAACTGATTATCTGCATTGCAGTGTATCCATGGCCAGTGCCAAAAAGGAAATACCAAGGAGGTTGCTTTTGCCTTCTACTCCATTGTATTGGCGTTCTCCTTCAATCAGTAAACAATGTTTTCACATACAAAGCTTACAGTCACAGAACAAGTTCATCCACAGAAAGAGATATTTTCCTTCCATGTTAAAAGATCACTCTCTGTCTAAGACTCAGTCTGACTCAAATGTGATCTTAAAAACAAGTACTTTTGTATATGCATATTTCTATACTGGAGTTCTGTTAAGTGTCCCACCCTGCTACTGATGCCTTCACTTGTAAATCAGTGGCAGCACTATCACCTCAGAGTCTAACTGAGTCTGCAATCAGTTCACTTTTGACAAGTTTACTTAGGAACTACAGAAAATATTTATCCATTTTCAAATACCAACACAGAGTTGTTTTGATTTATTACACACAATCCCCCTGAGTTAGAACACTCTCTGTTAAAACTCATATTTTAATTGTATTTCAGTATTAGAAGCAATACTGAGGTTTTGTGGTTTTTTGCTTAGTAATTGCAGGTTCAAAGAGCAAAGCTTTGCAAGAAAGCTTTCATTGCTTGTTTAGCTGTTGTCATTACAATCACTACTTTCTGCCATAATAAAGCTATAGTTTAAGCTGATGTAGCATATTGGAGTGTTCATATAACGACCTCCTATTTTTGCCCTTTTTTTTTTTTTGCTAGCATTTTATGTAAAGTACCTTTTGCTTTCTTGCCAAAATGGGAAATAATACTTTTTTGATGATTTTTACTTGTTTTTTTTTCTAGAAACTGGAAGGTAGAATGCCATAAAATGTCAACATGCTGTATGAGTGTGTGCAGACTCTACTCATGCTAGAAAAGCCCTTGCTCAGATGCTGATCTAAAGCGCATGTCACTGAGTGGAGGTGCTGGGGCTTTGCACTTTGAGCATTGAGAGTGGAGCAGGTGAAGCCTGGTCTGCGCAGGTTGCTTTCCAACAGAAACTTTTGGGGCAATGTGTAATAAGGTCTGGCCTTATCCCAGTGTGTAGTCAGGGTATATATATCCAGCCCCAGGAACTGAGAGGAGTCTGTGAGTCCGACAATTTTGGAGGCTACTAGTAAACCAACTATGAGCAACATGAGTAGAGGTTGTACAAGCTGAGCTCCTGCAGAGCATTAGTGAGGCTTCAGCACTGTATGGTTTGCGTTGAGAGGTGCAGTACCTTCATATGGTTTAGCCACCTCTCCTCTTATCTTCTGGCAGTTCCAATTATGATAATGAGAACCTGCCCTTTTGACAGAGAGAAAGAGAAAAGATGAGGGTTAGAAACAGCAGTCCTGAGGACTGTTAGTATCCCAATTGTCTGCTTTTTCCAAGCCCATCATCTTTAACCACAGCGTCTAAAATCAAACAAAAAGAGGAGACCTTTGGATCCCTTTTAATAAAACATAGGAAAATAAAACTGCGGAATTTAGTGGGCTGTGACATTCGACTGTTAATTGATGGGGTCAGTTGTTGGCCCAAACTGGGCCACAGCCCAGGCTTTTAACTCTGCTGAAGAAAATGGACTGCACTGATGCCCTGGGTCAAGCTGGGAGTACTTACTGAGAGCCGCATAGGGATTGAAAATTCCAACCACTTCTAGACCGTTTAATGCATTTCTTGCTAAATAAATTTTACTATATTTACATTTTCTGTGACTTTGGTAATGCATGTAATTCTGTTTGACATGATTTATACTGCAGAGATTTTTCTCTGGTGGAATTATAGGGAAATTTTCTAGGGCAGCTGGAAAAGTTACAGGTTGTCGTGTAATTGAGATTAAAATCTGGGAGTTTGTGCTTTGTTATTATGTAAGTATAAATTATTTATTATCTTTACTTTTACTAAAAGTGCTTTTCCTCTTTTTTGCCTCAAAATCCCTTTCCGGAAAGTGAGGCTAATGATACAGCCTGGAGAGCTTTCCTTGGAGAGGAAAGCTGCAAAATTAAAAATGCAGAAAAATTAAGATAAAGGCTCAAAGAAATAGAGCATTTTTTGGAATGTTTGGCTTTGGTAGCAGTGTGCAGTTGACAAACAGAAGGCTTCTGTTGCTAAATAATGAATGATAATTAACACATTATCTTGCTTTTATGTCTGTTCAAAGAAGGAGGCAAAATGAGCTGCTGTTCTTCTAAGCTTTCTTGAATAGTATCCTTGCAGTTAGTTTTAACTCATTCACAGTATGAAGGCAGTTGAGATAAGCCTGGTCCTAGTAGCTGATATTCATCAGGAAAAAATGTTTGGAGAAGCCATATGGCAACGGGCGTAAGGTTGTTAACTTTCAAAGCTACTGGAAGTATAATTCTGTCATTTTTCATTTATTCAGTAGTGGCAGCAGATGGGAGAAAACATGGTTCACGTCAGCATGAGTTTCCTGAAACAGAAACAGGCAGAAGAAGAAGGGAGGTGGTATTTTACCTCTGGAAATACCAGTACCAAGATACCAATGTATGCCAGGGATAGGCAAACATTTATGGGAGGCTCTTTTATTGCTTTTGGGAGTCAATATCTGTGTTTTGCTGCTTCTCTGATGCTTCAGTGAGCTATAGGTCTTTTTGATGGAACCAAAAAGTGTGGGTAGAATGAAAAGTAGTGTTGCAAAGCACAATACACAATGACAAGAAACTAGAGTGAGTAGTTTGCTTTCCTTTCCCTTTATTAAAGGGCAGGATGTTTTTTTTTAACTGTGCACCACCACATTTTTGGAAGCAGAATTTACGAAATTGCAACACCAGCACAAAGTGTTTATGACGGAGGGCCCTTGATGGGGCACCCTGCCAAAAGGAAGACACCCCGTTAGCATCCTTGGGGGTGCCAGCAAGAAAAATACCGATCTCGCTGGGCGAGCATGTCACTGGGTCACATCTGTGTCACCCTATGCGAGGTGGAGCTGTCTTAGATGTGAGGGCTGCGAGGACTGAAATAGCGTCATCTTGATAGCTTGGAATAATAAAGTGTATCATTTTGCAAAATGAGACTGTACTACATTCCCTGAGAGCTTTTAAATAGAAGCATGGAAAGAAGCCAGGTGCATTAGGCAACAGTGGTTGTTTAAAGGAACATATATTTCTGTTGTTTGGGAGGGGAAAACAAAGTGCTGAAATTTTGAATGTGGCATTTAGAGCTCCTTAAAGAATCTCACCTGGGCCTGTCTTGTGCCTGCACTGGGTGCCTACAGAATCAGGCGACTACTAAGGCACTGGTGGAGGAGAGCTGCGATTACGCACTGCCTGTGTCCTCGGCCTCATGGAGATGGCAGCCGGTTGACTGACAGCTCATGAAGACAGCATTTCAAACAGACCAGATGAAAGCAAAAGGCTAATTAATAACAAAGGATGTCTCAGCTCAGAAGTGCTTAAATAGTGAAGTCTCCGTCCTTGTAGGATGGGTCTGTTTGTTTTTAACTTCATGCAAAGTGCTCGAGGTTGTTGACATTTGAACTACCCTGGTTCTGCACAGATCGAGGAGTTGGAGATCAGTTTTGATAGCGAGCAACACAGGATAGTTGTGGATATTTTTAACAGCAATCTACTCAATTTGGTATGAATTTTATTAAGTCATCTGAGGAAAAAGAATTAGTATCAAAAAATCAGAGATGTAAATTTCTGACAGTTTGACAACTGTCTTACACAGGGATCTTTAAAATTATAATCAATACTCTGGACTGAAGATGAATGAGAAAGTATTAAACTTGGTTAATTACAAAACAGAATACTATATATTATTGTACCTATATAATAATACAATATTATTATACTGAGATACTATCTACATAACACGCAAGAAACTATAAATTATAAAAACAAGGCGTTTTAAAAATTTACTGCATATGGAAATATTTTAATCCTCATTCATATGAATTTTGGAAGGGAACAGGTCACAGTTCTGTATTTGAACATATTTTCACATTCAGATGATACATATCTTGTTTGTGACTTTCAACAATTTGGAACAACTATGTAGATAATAACCTCAGACTTCCAGCTCCTTCGTTTCATATTACAGTAATACTTAGTCACTGGTGGGGTTTGCTCCCTGAGCTACCCTACAGTTCCCTTCCAGAGAGTTCTGCTCTATGATCAGTAATCAGAGAAATGGAAAATTGTTTTCAGCTGTAATAATAAATTCGGCAAAATAAGTTTTGCTGGAGGCCATGGATACTGTAACTCCAAGTTGTGGCTTGCTGATACTTGTAATGACCTCCATACTCCAATTTCATACACTGTGCTGAGGGTCTAACTTTATGTCATTAAGATTCTTCCTGTTGTCCTTTTTTGTTACTGCTTGCTTTTTCACTGTAATAGCTGCAATCTCTCTTTTACCCCAAATGCATTAAAACTGGTACTAACTTGAAGTCCTTTCTGTGCTATTGTCTCTCAGGCTACGACTGATTTGAGCACTAGTGAGAGCAAGAGTGCAGATGACTATATTATGGTTTCCAAAGAAGAGGAAGGAAGTAGAAGAACTGTCCCAGAGCCAGCGCAGTCCCATCAGTCACACAAGGAGGCAGCAGCGAAGCCAGAAGCTCCATCTCGTTCTTCTTTGGTATTCTCTGACCCACTGATGGGCTCCATTTCAGCCTCCTCCAGCAACCTGAGCTCCAGCCCTGATGATGACAGTAGCAATAACAGCAAAGATTCTGACTTTGCTATTGTCAGCCCACTGGACATCTAAAGAAACAGGTTGAGAGAGTTTGGGAGGTCAGTCATTACACCTCAGCTCAAATTCCTATGATTCCACGGGCTAGATAGTTCTTTGGATTAGAAGGACAGAAAATAGTTAAAGGTAATCCATTTCAGCTGCCAAAAGCTTAAATTAAAAAAAAAAAAAAAAAAAACGACCACAAACACCAAACAAAAAACCAAAATCCACAATTTGCAACTCTTCAAAAAGAATAGAAACCTTTTAATTGCCTTAAATAACAAACCAGTAAAACCCGGTTCTAATATACAGTTATTATTAGTTATAGAGTTATCTTACTTAGGAGCTTCGTTACTATAGAACTGTTGCTTTCCCGAAACATACAGTAGTATGTGCTAGGTACCATAATGGGTTAGGAAATGTGTAGATACTTGACATCAAACCTGAAGCAGCAAAGACAAGCTAGATTTAATATTGTCCTTTTACAAAATATGCTCAACTGGCTTTTCTGAGCACGAAAAGGTACCGTTTCTTCAGAGACTGTGATTAGAGAAGTAGAGGATGTAGGTCAGAAAGATTAAAAGCATCATCCTGGCGGTAAGCTTGTTCTCAGTTGAGGAATCCTAGTTTCATTTTCATCCAGCAGTAGCCTGAGGTGTGTTCAAGGCAGAGGTTTGTGTAGTTGTTCCTCAGCACTGTCTTACAGGAGAATGTGTGACAAATTCCTTGAGAATGAGGACCTATACAACAGAGCCTTATTTCCCTTTGCCTACTTTTTTTTCCCCTGGGAGTTCCCAGTTCACCTCTTTCTCTCTTTGTCTACTTTTACTCCCCCTGGTGTTTTTAGATTACTATGGTTAAAACAGTAGGTGCAAGGGAAATTACAATATTTCGTAGTGCAGACCTTAGCCAGTTGAACTAAAACTAGCTTGAGTATGATGACTTAACCAGGGAAGGGTGCAAAGTGAAATGAAATGTTCATAATTAAATGCACTTTATGTCTCGTTACTATTATCTTCTATAGACTCTGTTTACATATATTCCTATATGATTTCCACATTTCTAGTCAAGAAAAACATAATGGTGCAGCAGCATCAACCAACAGAAAGTTTCTAATTAACTCCTGAACTTGTTCTTCTATGGAAAAGTGTATTTCTTTCCCATCAAGTACATAGTACATCTAATAAAAGTGTTTTCAAGTAGATACTTTTTTTATACTTGCTGATCCCTTTAAACTCTTTTGGAATTCACAGAAAGAAACATGGTGAGTGGACGCCTGCTCTTGTAGGACCTACACAGAACTAGCTTGAGGAAGCAATGCTAGGAAGTCACTCTACTTACAACAACAGCAAAAAAAAAATTGCATTATTTACTTCTAAGATACGTATGCATTGTACCATGCAATAACTTCTTAATTGCATGGCAAAGCTTTTGTTTGTATGGAATTAAGAAATGGTAGTTATTTGCTGCTTAGTCTGTAATTGTAAATGGACTTAAGTACCTTATTCCAAAGATGAGGTGACACATAGTTTTCTGGTCTTAGATTTTACAAGGTCTGTGTCAGTGACTGCAATGAAGAGATAATTGTCATGTAATTACATGGTAGCTGACACATCCTTACATGCTCAAAAGCCACCGTGTAGTTCTTCTGAGATTATTTTTGCCTTGTAAAATGGTAAAATGATAGAATGTTATGAGCAGGCTTAGCATCATACCTCTCTGCGACAGAGTGATATGAACAGTCAGGTGACTGTTTAGATGAAAGATCTTAAAACGCGTAACATTTTGGAGAGGTGTTTATTTTGGTTTAATTTTAAGCTTCATAGAAAATCACTTTGGAATTCAGCACGCATGCCTGTCTTCAGGTTTATTTTATTTCCCTGAGTTTGCATGAATGCCAGGGGATTAGGTGGCTGTTGATCTAGGTCTTTCAAGCTTTTCTAGCCTTAACCCATTCAGCAAGGCTTGTGCCACATCACCAACAAAGGGGAATCTGTTCAAGAAGTACCTATGGAAAGAGGAAGGAAATATTCTGGGGACAGAGAGAAAGGTTTTATATTCTGTGATACATAAGCCTTCAAAGATTCCAGTACTTTGGCAGGGGAAAATGTTTTTACTTCTTTTTTTTATTTTTTTAAGCATCAGTCTTTTGATTTCTGTTCTGGTTGTTACTTTCAGGGATCATATTGCTGTTTTCTTAAACAGTCTCATTGCCAATGGAAGAGTGTGATTTATACAGTTCTTTTATTTTTGTAAGTTAGTTGTATCTTTAATATTGCATATTTTAAAACAGCGCTATAAGTATATAAAGATTTTGGGAGCATCTAACAAGTTTTCACTAATCAGTGAATACCAATGAGCTGAATGCCTGTCATGCCATGGGATATGATAAAAATCTTCAGAAGCAGAGAGATGATTATACAAATAAGATCAGAGCAAATTCCAGTAAATGAATCTGTTTTGGTTATACCATGTCTTTCCACATCTCAAATACAGTCTCTGATGCTCAGTCATAGTATGGAGATAGGTGAAATTTGTATGTTCATTGAGTCAGAAACTTGTAAGTTAGACAAAATGTTAAGTCATCACCCTGTCTTGTGGTATGTATACTGAGAAAGGAATGTCATTAAAATACAAGATTGTTCTTTTTCTCCAAAGATGATTTGCTCATAATGTTCATGGATAACAATAATTAGATAGAAAAATCATACGCATTGCAAATTACTGATGAAAACTAATTTGGGATTAAGCTATGTATCTGAGACTGTTGTACCGTATCTCACATCTGTAATTTATGACTATTTAAAGTCTCTTGCATGTCATGTCAGTTGTAGGTACTGCAGAAAGGCAGTATCATATTTTGACTGGGTATTCATTTAGTCGTGGAACTTTGTATCTTTACTCTGGAAGAACATCTAGCCCGCATTATTAAAGAAAGAATTAACAAATTTTCTGGGCTGTGCTTGTGCTATTTTCTCAAAAAGGGAAAGCTTTTTGACTAGAATACTGGAAGTATGATTTCTGAGAACATTAAAATTTTAAAACTATCTCATTATCTATATAAGCACAAAGATTAATCATATTTTAATCAGATTTTGTATATATGATCCAGGGAATAAAACTGCTCGTCATTTATCTCACCCAAGCAACAGAAAACATTTCCTATTTATCATATTTATTCTATCTGAAAATAACAAACCAGAATTTAACATGGTATATAACTTTTCTGCAATTTTATGAATCTTGGTATAGTTACAGTATTGTGTCTCAGTCACAGTCCCAGTATCTGTACAGTACTTTTCTGAATCTCAACACTTTATTTCACATTCTTAAATGTTTCCTGTGATTCTCGAGTATGTTCTTCTCATTAGATGGCACTGAGGCAGCTATTTAAATGATTAAATTTCAGATTTAAGGTGTACTTGTGCCTAGCAATTACAGTGTCATCTGTTCAAATACAGACACAGCAATCCTAACGCGAACAGATTTCTGAGTTCTGGATGTCAGCCCTTAAATAATACATTTTATTTTGTGCTGCATGTGTTGGTCTTGAGTGAATGTCTGTAATGGTTTATTAGACTTGAAAAGGTGCGATTTCGTAAAATAAACTTCATTTGGCTACAGAATAGTAATTACACTGTCTCATAATCTGTGCTGTTTTTTTAGAAGTGATTATGTACAGTCTTTGCTTTAGTGTTTCCTGTGTTACCGAATCTGCTAGACTCCCACTTTAGTAGCTAGCTAAATTTAGAGATGAAAGAGCATGAAAGCAGGTCATCAGAGAAACAGCGACTTGAAACGTGCACAGAGGCAGCTTGTTTGCCTGCTGCTCGCAATATATTTAACTACTAAAATGGTGAGGGAGGTTTTAGATACGTGAGAGGATCCTGCAAGAGGCAAAGTGCATAACCCTAGAAACAGACGATAAGCCAGAAGGGATGCAGCATGAGACTTTTTTGAACTACAAATTCTTTAGGGCAGGAACCATCTTTTTCCCTTGAGTTTGTACAGAGCTTCTAGCATAGTTTGCCATGACCACAGATGCTGTCAAAATTAGGATAACAATAATATACTCATTATTTCACCAGGTTTTGCTCTTTCAAACAGTGAGCTAGGTGTAAGCTAGTAATAATAACTCAGCTGATAGCAGTAGTATTGTATCAGAGGAATTTGGGTCCACACTGCTGAAATAAGTGCAATTGAAGAGCAGTAGCTTAATAAAATAAAAACAAAAAACCTACGCCAGAAACAGGACAACAATGTTGCCAGATACTAAAAGCTATATTTCTCTCCAGACATACGAATTATAAGAAGTATTTTCTAAAATGTGCTTCAGGTAGCACTTGTGTACCTTATTTGACTACACCAGGTAAGTTTGTGCGAACATCTCTGTTTTAATTTGCAAGAGCCTAGCTGATACTGAGATGCAGGAAGCATTAGGTTACATCAGCTGCAGAGGGAAGACAATGCATTTCCATTTTCTATGAATGGTAAGAATCTGATCCTTCAAATCCCACTGATTTACCACTTTCACTGTCTTCCATGGTGACAACATGAAAAGCCCTGTAAGCATTTCCAGAGACCTGATAGGAACTCTGCTGCTTAAGTCGTCACATGCAGTCGCAGAGCTTCAACAGAGAAAGTTTTCTCAGCTTTGCCTCACTGTGAGCTTCAGGGACTGTGGCGAGATTAGGTTTGCCTGAATTTTTAACTAGTACAAAGAAGCATTAAAGATGCTATATATTATCGTGTCAGTATTTGAGACCTTTTGGAATATATATTGCTACATAGTTTTGAGGTGGAAGAATAGTTGTCACGATATCTTGATTTCCCACCTGCTGTGTTAGTTGAATACAGGGGATGGGGAATATTTTCAGATCAGCATTAAACTCCCCTTTAAAATAAGAGAAAATATCAAGCAAACATAGTAAAAGGCAGATTATCAGAGGTGACATACAGCTTTCTGCGTAATATATACCTCTGTGCAACACTCGGGGACATGAAACGTTTTCATCCATAAATAGGAGAACTTGCAACAGAGTGGAACACATAGCAGAAAATGTACATGAATGTGAGCCTGTTCTTAAAAACATTTTAAAATCTCCAAGGATTAAAATA